ATAATTTTCTGGCAATGAAGAAATGGTAACAACCAACCAAAACAAAAAGAGCCTGATCTTGGAAGGCTGCTACAGAGATCCTTATAGTGACAATTCTTACTCCTTTGGTTTGACCACATCAGCACACATCAAGTCCAACTGCCAGCATCTGAATCTCATTGCTTGGGTGATGTTTATGACTGCCAAAACCTAGAACCCCAAGTCTATGTGGTACTAGATAATGAATTCACCACATGTACACACCACTGCCCTCTAGCTACCTTCAACCAATGACTAGCAGGAGTTGGTGTGCAAATACGCCAGCCCCCTTACCCTTAGGTGATACAGTTCTGCATAGACGGGTTAAAGGTCAGTTGCCCACATTAGTAACTTGCTAGGTAAGTTCTCTTCATTAACTACCTTTCCTCCTGATTCATTTTCCTACTCTCCTTTCACATCCCAAATAAACTACCCGTACCTGAATCCTTAATTCAAAGTCTGTTTTTGGGCAAAGCCAAATTCAGCAGAACAAAAGAGACCTGGTTTAGAATCCTGGGTCTACCACTTACAAGATTAGGTGACTTAATAATGTCCCTTGGTCTCCGTTTTCCTATTTCTAAATGGAAATGGTTAATACCTACTTTGTGAGTTTGAAGGAAATAATAAATAACAAGCCCCTGAACTATGTCTGACATATTGCATATACCTAACAAGTTCAGGTTCTCCCTCTTCAGTTTCACTCTCTATGCAGGAGACTTCAAACCAGTGAAGAGCTATATCATTTAAATTTGCTATATGACAACCCACTCAGAACTGGGTGGACAAAATCAACTTTATTTAGTTCAAAATTCTTAGAGTCAGCAGTTTGGGGTGGGTTCCATTGGATGGTTTTTCTGCAGGCCTGAGCTGGGCTCACCTGTGCAAATGTGGGCAATAGCCAATCATGTGGGTTGTTATACTATTTGAGGGTCAGCTAACTGTTGCTGGGGTGGCTGGGGTGACTGAACCATGTGTCCTTATACCTAAAAGGCTAACCCAGGCTTCACATGGCTTCACATGGCAGCTCAAGTTTCCAGGAGCAGCAAGAGGGCACAGTTTGTTTGTGTCATCTTTGCTACTCTCCCTTTGACCAGAGCAAGTCCTGTGGCTTACCTCAGATGTAAGGAATAGAGAAAGATTCTACTTCTTGGTAGGAGGAGCTACCAAGTCACATTGCAAGGATATGGACATAGAGTGTAGAAACTTGTGGCCATGTTTGTGATCTATTAGGTGGGTAAAAACATAATTGTGGTTCTGACATTAAAAGTCATTGCAAAAACCGTTAAGTACTTTTACACCAACCTAATACTACAGAAAATATGTCTTGCATATATCTGAGGTGCTACTAATGTGGGCAACTGGCCATTAACTCCTATACACAGAGCTGTCTTACCTAAGGGTAAGAGGGCTGGCATATTTGCAGGCCAACTTCTGCTAGTCATTGACCAAAGGTACCAAGATATCTGGGGGCCATCAAAAATTAGTGGTGAGATCCCTGAAGTCTTGGTAACTTGCTAGATAGTTGAAGGACAGGTTTGCTCTCATAGGACATAGGCAGTCTCCCTTACTACGTTCAGGAGGCTAATTTTAATGTAGTTTTTAGCCGTGATCAAAGTTAGAAATTTTTGTTGGAAGATGATAAAGATAAAAGGTTTTAAAAATCTAAAAATACATTTGTTATACTAAATTGTTCAGATGTGTCATCATTTTTAACCATATTGATAGTCATATCAGTGACTGAAATGAATGTTTATACTTCTGAATGCAGGTATTCACACAAACACATTCTTCAAGATTCTTGGAGATGCAACTATAATCAATCCAGGGAACCATTTTAAGCCAAGAAGCCTCTTCCTTTCATCAAAGACCAATTAATCACAAGCCCAAAGACTATTCTAAGTTGATTATGGATCACAATTACTCATCTTAATTTCAGTAATAATTACCTATACAAAATTCCTTATAAAAACTCCTTTATAAAACTCTGCTTTATAAAAACTTTTCTAATAAAGGAAGAAAAATTATAAATAACCTTGGTGGTAAATAGTGCAGCGGATTCAGTAAATTGCAAGTAGCATTTCTGGCTGGTGAACAAAATTTGGTCTGCTCCATGAAGCCCACAGAGGTTTGGGGTATTAGCCATGAGATAGAAATAATTCTTGTGCTGTTGTAATTGCATTTATTTCCTATTAAACTGCCACATACTTCTGATATTGTGTTAGACTGCATATAATTAGGATAAAAGAATTAAGGCTTGAAACTCTGCCTTCCAGGAAGTTATTATACAGGAGAGGACCTAAGAGAGTGGCAACAACCCACACCCTTCACCAGCCCATAGGCAAGAGTAACGATAAGCAGCTCAAACAAGATTCATAAACTTTCTCTAAGAAATTCAGTCAGGACTCAGAGCAATGGCTAAGGCACATTATTCCATTAGGCTGGTGCAAAAGAAATTGCAGTTTTTTCCATTACCTTTAATGGTAAAAATGGCAATTACTTTTGCACCAACCTAATAGGATAATTTGCCTAAGTATAACTTACCAGTTGTGCATAGAAAAGAGAAAAATTTAGCTCCCTGCCTTCCACAAGGAACCCCCTCTGGGCCCCTTTGGAGAAACACCTCTCTAAGGCAGGGCTAAAGACTTAGTCACCCTTTCTGAATAGGGGATCCAGGAGTGGGACATCCCTGAAGGTGGGATAAAGGTAAAGGTCCAGATATAAGGAAACTCTGGGTTCAGCTAAATCACATCCAGAGACAGGTTGCACAGTGAGACAAGACAGCCCCAAAGGGAGAGTGATCATATAAAATGAATGCTGACCATATAGAATGAACACACCCAAACCAGGATACTCCTAAGTAAACCAGGACGGTAGGGGTAAGTGAGGGCTTCCCCAGTTTGGGCGACCTTTATACAGGAGAACTAATAATTTATCTAATGACTTAAGAGAAATTTTTTCTGGCCTTGTAAAACACATTGATCCAACCAAGCTACGATAGGGCAGAAGTCAACTCTAACATATTCCAGGGCCTCTTTAGCACTCAGCCTCCCAGCAGGACTGTAATGAGCTACACACAACAATACTGACAAGTGCAGCTCACGGTGTCACACGAGCACCATTCCTGCGACTTTGGGGAGAATCAGGAAAATATTTAGAAGGCTCCTCATTCCCAGCCTTTCTTCTACTCTACTCACAATGTGAGCCACTAATCGGAGAAAGAGAAGGATTTGTATTCTAACACAAAGACTCAGTGGGGCCAAATTGTGGTTTGGCAAAAGTGCTTAAATACTAAAATACCTTCTGTGAAATCCCAAGAACTGTGACCTCCTTACAGACCTGTGGGGTCTTTCCAGTAATTTATCTTCCTATTCATGCATGACTTCTTGCATCCCCCTTTGGAATAATCTGACAGCCTTCATCCTCGTCTTCCAGGTGTCAGCTCTGAACATCACAGGCACATAAACAGCCCCGTTAATTATTCCATCACCTGCCCAGAGCCCTTGAGCATTGACCTTAGGGAGCTCAGACAACAGAGAAGGCTACACCATGGTTTAAATCTCTCTCACTTTTGAGACAAGAGCAGGATTAGAATTTTAGTCTTCCTTTGATTATTATAGAATTTCTTTTCATCTAGACACTTCATGGGAGGAACAAAAAACACTGTCTCCTGTCCTAAGTGAATGCTTACACCACAGATGACAGTTGGAAGATCTTACAGAGGCTTGGTAAGTATTAAAGTATTAGAGTTTTATCTCATTTGAAAGAGGACTGACTTATGCCGTCTGCATGCTGAGTTTCTTTTTTATTGCAAAGTTGCCAAATATTACTGTATAAAAACAGGTTTGCTGACATAATGCAAATTACCATAAAAATTTAACAGTGGACGCTCACTTCGTCAATGCCAACCACTGGGTATTCCAGTCCTGCCACTCATATTAATACCGGCCATTTGCGACAAAGCTTTCTTTGACACTTTTTGTTCCCTCTCCCTCATATCCTGTCACCTTAAATTCTCCCCCACCCCAGCTTTTAACCTCATGACCTCACACCACAACTACAGTGACAGCCTTCCAACTGGACTCCCAATCTTCAGTCTCACCCACCCACAGTGCATCCCACACATTGGTCAGATTAATCTTTTTAAAACATGCCTCCTAGGGCATGCTATTGCACTGTTTAAATCATTAGAAGCCAAGGTGAGAGGATCACTTGCATGATCAAGAGTTCAAAACCAGCCTGGGCAAAATGAAGAGATCTCACGTCTATGTGTGCAGAGAGCAGCCTCTGCACTCAGACCACTGCACTCCAGCCTGGGTGACAGAATGAGATCCAGTCTCAAAAAGAAAAGAGAAAAATTAAATTGTTACAGATTCTCTCTTGACTTTGAAAGAATGTTCAGGCTTTTCAGATTAATCTGCCAAAACCTGGCATCAACCCAGTTCACGACTGATATCTCTCACTATTCAATGAAGGCTGGGAGCCTCCACTCCCCCTCAAACAGGCCATGGAGATGCCTACCCTCATACTGTGGGTTCAGTCAGCTTCCCCCCAGGAATGCTCCCCAAATTCCCCAATGCTCCTCCATTGTCTAGGTCAGAGGTCAAAGTGATGCACTGCTGTATCTGGAGATAAGGGGGCAACAAGCCAAGGAATGCAGGTGGCCTCTAGACACTGGTAAAGGCAAGGAACCAGAATCTCCCCAAGAGTCTCCCGGAGGAACTCAACCCTGCGACACTTTGAGGTCAACCTCGGGAAACTCATCTCAGACTTCTGAGCTTCAGGGCTTCCTTTCTCCCCTCTCTTATAGCATTTATTATTTGAACTAATAATCTAACACACAGCGCCCTCTATCTTTAATAATTATTATTTTGTGTATGTATTCTTCTCCCCTACAAGATTTTAAACTTCTAAGTGGAAGAATCAAGTTTTATGTCTCTTTCTTTCTAAAGTCTCTTTCTCTCTTCAAGCTCTCTAAAGTAAATCATTTGTCTGCCTAAAACTTTACTTCATTAGTTTCCTATGCCTTTCAAATTAGGTACAAACATTTAACATTCTGAGCCTTCTACAATTTGAAACCTAAATATTTTTGTTTTCTCTTTTCACTTGTCACACGGTCGTGTTCCCCAAATTATCCTGAACTTCCCTCTCACCATGCTTCTGCTGATACCATTATCTTCATCAATGTCTGTGCACCCAACATGGAGACCACTGGTCACATGCAGCTAATGGGCACTGGAAGTGGGGCTTCTTCAAATTCAGATGCACCATAAGTGTAAAATCATGTCACACTTCAAAGACTTCAAACAAGAACGAAAAGCATGTAAAATACCTCAATATCCCTTACATATCAAAATGATAATATTCTGGCTATGCAGAATTACATAAAATATATTATTAAAATTAATTTCAGGCCAGGCGCCTGTAATCTCAGCACTTTGGGAGGCTGAAGCAGTAGATCACTTGAGGTCAGGAGATAGAGACCATCCCAGCCAACATGGAAAACCCCATTTCTACTAAAAATACAAAAATCAGCTGGGCATGGTGACGGCCATCTGTAATCCCAGCTACACCAGAGGCTGAGGCAAGAGAATTGCTTGAACCTGAGAGGTGGAGGTTGCAGTGAGCTGAGATCACACCATTGCACTCCAGCCTGAGCAACAGAGCGAGACTCTGTCTCAAAATAAAATTAAATTAATTTTACCTTTTTTCTTCTTTAATGTATCTACTAGCAATTTTTTAATTATATTTAATTTCTATTTCTACTGGATATAGCTAGTCTAGGAGGTTCTCTTTTCATCACCTCTCCTAAACTAAACCTGATCTTCACCCCTTCAAGTTTTATCCAGACTCAAGACCCAATTGAAATACTGTTTGCATAGATCCATTCTTGATTATTGATCCTCATTTCAGGTGTGATCTGTTTTCTTCTGAACACTCCCCTCCACTAACAGCATTTTATTTCTACCTATTTAAGAGGTAGAAATCAAGCCATATGCTGCTTTGAATTAACAGGTTTCAGTGGATTTTTCTTCTCATCCTTTTCATTGACTAGCACAGTTCACTATATGTAGTCGTCCCTCAGTATCTGGAAGAAATTGGTTAGGAATTGTTTCCAGGACGTCCCCATATCAAAATCTGGGAATGCTCAAGTCCCTCATATAAAATGGAATAGTGTTTGCATATAACTTATGCACATCTCCCATATACTATAAATCATCTCTAGATTACTTATATTTAATATAATATAAATGCCATGTAAACAGTAGTTGTATTGTAGAGCTTAAGGAATCACGATGAGAACAAATTCTGTGCATATCCAGTACAAATGTTTTTGAAAAACTATGTTCAATATGCAGTTGGTTGAATCCATGGATGTGGAACCCACAAATGATGCAGGACTGACTGTACAGTAGTAGCTATCCATATTGAACACTGTGGTAGGCGGAATGGTGGCCCCAAAATGCTCACAGCTTAATCTTCAGAACCAAGGCAAATATGTTACCTTACATGAAAATGGGAAATTAAGGTTGCATATAAAATAAAGGTTGCTAATCAACAGACCTGCAAATAAGGAGATCACCCTGGACTCTTCAGGTGGGCACAACATAATCAAAAGATCCTGCCATGGTTGCAATGTTTTTGTCCCCTCAAAATTTATGTTGAAACTTAATCACCAACACAACTGTATTAAGAAGTAGAGCTTTTAGGAGGCGATTAGACCTTGAGGGCTCTATCCTGAAGGATGGGATTAATGCCTCACAAAAGGGCTGGCATGTACTAGCAAGGAAGCTTTTGCCCTTCTATCTCTTCTGCCCTGTGAGGACACAGCGTCTGTCTCTTCTGGAGGATGCAGCAGCAAGGCACCATCTTGGAAGCAGAGATGAGGCCCTCACCAGACACCAAGCCTGCCAGGGCCTTGATGGTGGACTTCCAGCCTCCAGACCCATGAGAAATAAGTTTCTGTTCTTTATATATTGCCCAGTTTCAGGTATTTTGTTATAACAGCATAAATGGACTAAGCTAGGACCCTTTAAATATGGAAGAGGGAGGTAGAAGAGTCAAAGGGGATATCATGACAGAAACAGATTTCAAAGTGAGGTGACTGCTGGCTCTGAAGATGAATGGGGCAACAGGTCAAAGGATGCAGGCGGCCTCCAGCAGCTGGAGAAGGTAAGGAAATGGACTCACCCCTAGAACCTCTGGAAGGAATGCAACCCTGCCAACAAAGTGACTTTAGACCAGTGAAATCTATTTTGGTCTTTTGACCTCCAGAACTGTAAGGTGGTCATTCAGTGCTGTTTTAAGTCATACAGTTTGTGGTAATTTGTTATAGCAACACATCCTAATCACTTACAATGAGGTAGGCACTAAGCTAAAGCTTATCATTTATCAGCCTACTCAGTCTACCCAGCAATGCTCTAATCTAGATAGTTACTACTATAAACCCAATTTTACAGGTGATGAAATTGAGCCTCAGGAAAGTGACCCAAGGGAAACTCAACACTCTCTCTGATGACAGATCCTCTGCAAGGAACCATTTTAAACCCATCTCAAATGTGTAAAAGGAAAGGCTCATAAGATAATCATGCGGAAAGGAGAGGAAGAAACAGCGCTGCTAACTCTTGGCTGGCCAGCTTAGGGGAAAGAAACAGGTTGTTGCTTTTTTCAACTGAACTTGTAAAGTACAAAAAGAACAGGTTATACCCTGTCTCCACAACCCAGAGGATGAGCAATTGAGAGGCTTCTGGGAATTCACACATAGCTTCTCCCTTGCATGCTTGCACATGCTGAAGAAATCTTTTTTATCCCTTTGCAGGCCATGGGAAGAAGGGAAGGGGAGCGTGAGAGTGAGGTTCCTCTGGGCACATGTTTGACTCTTTCCTTCACTAAAAAGCCTCCACAAATAAGTCAGAGGATACCAGTCTTGAGAAACTGGAACATTTCCTCTACATACTTCTTCAGATTTACGCTTTCACCCAAAACAAGCCCTCCCTGATCTCCCTCACTCAGTCATACACTGCCTTGCAACCCTCTCACAGCACTGAAAATCTCTCCCTTGAAACATTGTCACTGTTACACTTTTCCATTTATGGGATTATTTAATTAAAATGTCTCTCCCCAGCCTCCATGAAAGAGGATTATGTCTATCTAGTTTCACATTTTGTCCTCCAGGAGTTATACTTGATTCCAGCCTTTCTTAGCTCCCTCCACCCGACTGAATCTTCTCAGCAAATCCAGTCAACTCTACCTCCAAATTTATATGCTGAATCCTCCTACACTTCATCTTCCTTGCTATCATCAACGTCCAAGCCTTCATCACCTCTCATCAGGGTGATTGCCATAGCATCCTGTTTCTACTACTGCCATCTAAAAGTCTCCCCTGCACAACTGCCACAGATCACAGTTATAATGAAATCCTAACCCTTTAACCTGGCTTCCAAAGTCCTGACCCCTGCCATTCCTTTCCACCCTCATGCCATGCCAATCTCATTTCAAGGTCTGCTTTTTTTCTGCCCATATAACAGGTCAAGTTCACCCCAGCCTTGGGCCCTTTGCCCTCGTGTTCTCTGCCTAGAATGCTCTGCCCTCAATCTTCCTTCATATGGCTGGTTTCTTCCTGTCATTCAATATCAGCAGGCATCACCTCGGCATAAGCATTAATGAACTTGTAAATTACCTTTATAATAATTCCTTACATTTGTAGAGTCTCCTAACAAATACCACCCAAGTTTTCTGGGCCATTTCTGTTGGGATAAAAATAGGATTACAATAAAAGTTGAAAAATTATAAACATTTGGGGGCTCTGCCTCCAATTTCTTTGAGAGGGCTGCCTGACAAAAGTCCCTGCCTTCTCTTCAAATCTGTCACAGAAGTTGTTTCCACATGCTACATAAACTGACTTTCTTCATAGTTACATGGAAACATTTCCCTCATTTCCCACTTTAACTCACTCTGGTAGAACCTCTATCAGCTAAGGCTAACAAGAGCCTACCAAACCCACCACTGGTGAAGATCATGGGGTGGCCCCCTCTCCAGGAGCCTACTCATTTTTGTAATGCAGGTGCATTACAAAATTACCCTCATCGCCACCATCCTGGACCATGTGCTGAAAGAGTACCCCCAGTTCCAGGAGGCCCTGCAGAAAGTCAGCCAGATGATCTCCAACAAGCTCTAGTCACTAGGGCCCTCCTAGGGAGCGGCCTGGACCCTGCCTTCCAAGGCCTCAAGGAAGAGATCCAGAATTGTGTTTATTATGAAGGACTTGGAAACTTCTGTGTTCCTAAAAACCACATGTAACCTCAGAAGGGCATCATTTAAGAGAAACAGGCAAACCCCACCCGTAGGAATCTTTTTAGCCACTCAGCTGTTTCAATAAACCAAGTAAAATCCTAGCACTTCCCGTGGCACTCCAGTAAGCCTTCCATCGCAAAGACAGAGCCTGTGACTGCAAACCCACCCTCGCACACTGGGCTCACTCGTCCAGGTAACACCTTGGTTTGCCACACTCCCAAATCTGCACGTGCCTCTCACAACACAGCACTGGCATCTCTCCGCAAGCCGGTGGGCTGAGCAGCGGAGGGTAAGCTACAGCGGCTCCAGCCAGCCTTTGCCTGGGAGACAGCTTCCCCCAGCACCTCCCTCTACTAGGTGCACCTGAAAACCCACAAACCATCTTCTTTTCCAGTTTTTCCCATCCCTAACCCCTAGAAAGCTCAGGTCCCTTTTCCTGCCCCGATGTCCCCATTTGAGTTAAATTCAGATTCACAGTATGCAGCAAAAAGTCAGTGGCCCCAGACGTACATAACAGGGTAACCACAGAGTGGGCTGGGGCGTCCACAGCAAGAGACCACGCTCCACCTAAAAAAAAAAAACCTCATGGGTTGAGGGTGCCACTGCTCAAAGTACTCTAACGGCCCCAAAGTTCATTTCCCATCACTGCTGAAATTGCCAGCACCTATCTGCTGAGATCTTCTCTGTGATTTCAATAGTCCTCCAGATATTTGAGAAAAATTATGATTTTTAGTTTTTTCTTACTTATTTATTGAAAACTATCTTTATCCCATCCTTCCTCCAGTCCAGACTGAAGTTATTTGTGTTCTGAATCTCACCTTCCATTATGGCCCAATTTTAAAATAAACCATCTCCTAGCATGCTGGGTTGCCAAGCATACCAATAAATCATCAGGCAGATATGCCTTACCAATACCAAGATGAACACAGCTTGGGTTGCGTTGACCCTGCAACTCCACAGTCATACACATACACATATTTCATTTGTTTCTTATAACAATTATTAGCGGAAGCAAGATGCAGTTTTTACAACTATTCTCTATGTATGAAAATGAAAGATTAAGTGAATTGTTGGAGACCACATGTATTAGTCCATTTTCATACTGCTATGAAGAAAGAAATATTCGAGGCTGGGTAGTTTATAAAGAAAAAGATGTTTAATGGACTCACAGCTCCACATGGTTGGGGAGGCCTCATTATCATGGTGGAAGGCAAAGGAGGAGCAAAGGCATGTCTCACATGGTAGCAGGCAAAAGAGTGTGTGCAGTGGGGAGGCCGAGGCAGGTGGATCACGAGGTCAAGAGACTGAGACCATCCCGGTCAACACGGTGAAACCCCGTCTCTACTAAAAATACAAAAAATTAGCTGGGCATGGTGGCACGTTCCTGTAATCCCAACTACTCAGGAGGCTGAGGCAGGAGAATTGCCTGAACCCAGGAGGCGGAGGTTGCGGTGAGCCAAGATTGTGCCATTGCACTCCAGCATGGTTAACAAGACAAAACTGCGTCTCAAAAAAAAAAAAAAAAAAAAAAAAAGAGTGTGTGCAGGGGAACTCCCCTTTATAAAACCATCAGATCTGATGAGACTTATTCACTATCATGAGAATAGTAGCATAAGGGTAACCACCCTTGTGATTCAATTACCTCCCACTGGGTCCTTCCCACAACATGTGGACTTTATGGAAACTAGAATTCAAGATGAGATTTGGGTGAGGACACAGCCAAACCATATCACCACACAACTAAGTAACTTCAACTCAGGCCTCTAGACAACTGTAGCACTCTCAAATATCTCAAGGCCCTGCTACCACCTCTGAGTCTCCACCTATTGCCTAACTCTTCTGCAATCTCAAACAGAGTTAGAACATCTTGAATATATTGTAGTTCTACTAAATTCCAAATGAAATTTTTAGTTTGCACTTTTTTTAAGCTAATCCTATGGTGAAGCCCTCAATTCTGCCCCTTAGAAGGCTCACTGATGCTGTGAAGCTGAATTTCTATTGCTTCTAAAATAGTTTCCCACAATATCCAGTAGGGTAATTAGGTACATTTATTCAGAAAAGAGGCCCAGACCTTAGCAAGTCAAGCCCCTGATAAATTCAATCCCTTTGTCTTTATGTCATAACTAATTAACTTATCTAAAAGGGATTCACCATCTTTTTATGGATACACAGATTACTCCAGTATTATTCAAAAGGATGATAACACTGATTTTGGCGGCAGGTTTCACAGGAATGATAATCTTCTTTGAACCTCAGTTTTCTCATCTATGAAAAGGGGAAACTAGCACAAACTTATAGGGTTGTTGTAAGCATCAAATAGATAACCAGTAAAATAAACAGCACAGGGTATGACCCTAAGTAGAAATTCAATAATTATTTTTTTATCTCCTGGCCTGCAGCAAATTGGACAACTGAAATTTTATATATGTTCTCTGTTCTCTTCAAGTTTACATAATAAACTTGAAGTTACATAAAGAATCTATATAAAATTTGTCCTCAATTATTTTTTAATCTTTTGCCTTTTAGAAAATTTTGACTATTTACATTATGTAGAGTAAATGGATTTTGGCAAAATGTATTTCCTTTTCAGTATTTGGTCCTTTGGGTATTGAAGATGATGACATTACTTTGAATTCTTCTCTTCTCCAGGTAAAAAAGTACCCAGTCCCTTCAATCATACCTTTTTCAACAGGCTTTTCAGTCTTTTTTTCAATATATCTTTCCTTTCTCTACATAAAGGTTGTGTCCTAACTCTTATGCTGATTTTGCAGAAATGGCTATATGCAAAAACCATCAGAATTATTTATTAAATACCCCCTAGCTGCTATCTCTGGATTGCCTAGCTCCCATTTCCTAAAGGAAACAGTGTTTGATCTTTAGTGCTCACTGGATCATTTCTGAGCAATTGCCTTGAATTTGCTTTTTGATATTTTGGAGTTGAACACACTTGAGTCTAATTCTCTATTTTTGATTAATTTTTGTTTTTCCAACTCTTTATGGTAAAAATTTTCAAAATTCAGAAACATTGAAAGAATAATACAATTCAATAATTATTAACATTTTGCCATCCTTAATTTATCTCTCTGTACACACACACACACACACACACACACACACAGAAAGAGAGAGAGAAAATCATTTCATAGAAAGGTGTAGCATTATGATACTTAATTTCAAAATACTTCAGTATGGATCTCCTAATAGTAAAGATATTTTCCCACAATATCATTATTATACCTAAGAAAGTGATACATTATACAAAAATTCTATTGTCTAATATGCAATCTATATTCAACTTTCATTACCTACTCAGTCATCTGTGTGATAAATCCCTTGATTTCTTTCAGCTTCTGTCATCTCATTTATAAGATGGGGTTAATAAAACTACTATAAAGAATAGTCGTGAAGCTTTGAAATGCTATTCATTCAACAAATATTTCTAGAACACCCATCTATGTGAGCCAGCCACTGCTCTAAGTACTGGGCATAAAGTGATAAAAAAGTTAGATGGAGTCACTGCCATCACTCTAACCAAGGAGAAGTCAGTGGCCATCCTAAAAGATCAATAGAAACCCTCCTACTTATCATAACTCAAATTAGCAGTTGGGTGGTTAGTCAGAAAAGTCAGTTGAAAGATATATGCATTCCTCATTTTAACTCAAAATATACATGCACATATATTACGAATTTTGTGACATCAGGCCAAAGCCTCCCTTGGGGCATGAGTCTGCTGATCGGAGGTCAGCATTGACTTTCTTGCACAAACCACACCCAAGATGCATCATCTTAAATTTCCAGTTTCCATTTATTTAAAATAGAGTAAGGATATAAAGAGTCTTGCAGGTAACTCTGGTTTCAAGTGAAAGATCGATTACATGAATAAGATCACATGGCAATTTTGTTATTCTCTATATTCCTAGACAACTAAAATGACCATAAAATTTAAAAGATTATAATTATTCAGAAATAAAGAAAACAGAGTAGGAGACACAGATATTCTGAAGATGAAAAGTGGAAGGAGTGGTAACTATCTTAAAAGAGTATGGGGAAAGCATATACTGGGCGGCTTCAAGGAGAGAAGATGGTGACAAGTGAGACATTTCCTTGCAACTCAGGGACTCCAAAGGTCATGGCACTGGGTAGCCCAAAGGATGGCTCCAAGGACAGAACAGGTCAGGAGTGACACACAAGACTGAACACAGAGGAATTAGGCAAATAATACATATGACAAATGAAAATCTCAGCCTCCTTCCCACCCCTTAGAACATGGCAGGTAGAAAATACTACCTCCTCCATCACCTTCACCACCACTCATGAGGCAGGAGACTAGGAATCTAACCTTGAAAAACTAAACTGCCCCAGCCAGTCATGGTGGCTCACGCCTGTAATCCCAGCACATTGGGAGGCTGAGGTGGGCAGATCACTTGAGGTCAGGAGTTCAAGACTAGCCTGGCCAACATGGTGAAACCCCGTCTCTACTAAAAGTACAAAAATTAGCTGGGTGTGATGGGGCACACCTGCAATCCAAGTTACTCAGGAGGCTGAGGCAGGAGAATCACTTGAACCCCAGAGGCAGAGGTTGCAATGACTCAAGATTATGTCACTGCACTCCATTCTGGGCAACAGAGCAAGACTCTGTATCAAAAAAAAAGAGAGAGAGAGAGAGAGAAAGAAAAGAAAAAGAAAAACCAAACCATCCCAGCACCCCAGAAAGACAACCGGCATATTTACATTTGGTGGGGGGAGAGGGAGTCTCTTGATGAAGAGGCCAGATGGTCTGCTTTGTAGTAAAGCCCACCATCAACAACCTCCCCACCCACCCACCGACACACACATGGACACACACACACACACACACACACACACACACACACACACGTTCCAATCAACTTTCAATCTAGAGCTTCACTTATATATGAACAAACAACTCAAGATCATAAGTGCTTGAAAAGAAAGACTTCAAAGTGAAAAAGTGAATTCAAAAGCAATAGGCAAACAAAAAAGGATCTTAGAAGTAAGGTAAGCAATTAGGTAACAGTCAAACCAAGCCAAAAAAAAATTGTAATTAATATTAGAGAGCTTAGGTAATTCATTTGTAAAATAAAAATTGGTACTTTTAAAATCATACAACAAGCAGAAGCTTTTACAAATTAGAACCATGACAACTAGGATAAAATACTTAATAAAAGGAATGGAGAATAAGGTCAAAGAAATCTCCAAAAAGTAGAATCAAAAAGCAAAGAGTTAGGAAATGAGAAAGAACATACAGGAGAACAGTAGCTGACTACTGGAGTTCCAAAAAGGAACAAAGAACTAGATAAGTAGAAATTA